GGGGCTCGGGGCCCAGGGCTGACATGTGCAGCTGCAGGGCTCAGGCAGAGAATGGGATGGAGCTGTGGGCAGCTTGTCTTGGGGTGGGGGGGCAGTTACAGGGCTGCCTCCCTGCTGCTGCGAGCACTCACTGGGGAAGCATGGGAGGCATTTACCCCCAGATTTGTGCCTGGGACAGGGGCGAGTGTGGACTGCCTTCTGTGGGCTTGGGGCTCCCCACCCTGCTTCCCTCCTATGTGGGACCTGGCACAGCAGGTCAGAGTGGGGCCAGGCGGGGAAGCTCGATGCCACCTCTGCAAACCCCACGCCTCCATGGTGAGGTACCCCTGCCTGCCCAGGAGCAGCAGGAGGCACAATTCTGGGCCACCACCACTGCTGCTGCTAGTCGGGCAGGGTGTCCCTCGCCATGGTAGTGCAGGGCTTGTGGTGGTAGCACTGAGCTTCTTGGCCCCACTCTAACCTGCTGTGCCGGGTCCCATCCGTTGGGGTGCGGAGGCCCCAGGGGGAGGGCATCAGGGTAGGGAAACCAAACCCACAGCAGGCAGTCCGCCCCCCCGCCCCCCCTGCTCCCATGGAGGTGCTGCTGGGGGGCAGGGGGCTGTGGACCCAGGTCCCTGGCCTCATAGCCCTGGCAGCTGGGGGCCCCATCTGACAGGGCTGTGGGGGGGCAGGGGGCTGTGGTTGGGGTGTGAGGGGTGCTGGCTAAGCAGAGGTGGGGGGTTGTGGGTAGGGAGTAAGGGGCACTGGCAGGGGTGGGAGGGATGTGGGTGGGGACTGAGGGGTTTTGGGGTTTTTAATCATAGAAGTTGTATGTTTCTATCAGAGAATTTGCAGTTTTTAAACAGAAAACCAGGATCCCTGGTAACAATAAATGTCAGGAGGTGGGGGGTGGGATTGTTAATGTAAGCATCAGTTGTGCTAAAAGAATCTCCATGGGATGTGAACATACACAGTCTTTCTATTTTCTTTTTTTTTTTGAGAGAAATTTCTATATTTACTCAATTAAAAGATGAGTTTTTTTCCCACTTAACATGGGGTGGGGCTTGTCTTACAATCAAGTATGAGGCGGCAGGGGGACAGGCAGCTGCTGTGGCTCTGGCTCCAACTCTGGGTTGGGGCCAGAGCAGCCAGCTGCTGCCTGCCCTCTGCTGCCTCTGCACCCCCAGTCAGTCTTGCCTCAAGCCCCTGCTTCCCCTTCTCTCACTCTATCCCCCCTCGCCACTGTCCCCCTTACCTTTGCTCCACACGAGGAGGCTTCATCTTTGCTGCAGCCTCGAACACGGAGCATGTGCTCCAGCCCAGCCTTGTAGCAGTGGTATTGGCTCCATGCCGCTGCTATGGGGCCAGGCTGGAGCTGTACTGAGTAACCCCAGGCTGCAGCAGGGACAGAGCCTGCTAGCGCAGAGTAAAGGTAAGGGGAAGGAGAGGCGCGGGGGGGAGAAGGTGGGAGGTGGGGACCTGAGGTTGCAGAGGGCAGAAGGGGTAGGAAGTGAGGAAAAGGAGGTTAGTGGAAGGGGAATGGAGACATGAGGCTGCAGAGGGCAGGTGCAAGAAGGGTAAATGGGGGCGGGGGGCAAGCTGCCTGCCTCCCTCACTGCCTGCCTCATTGCCTCCACACTGTTCGTCTCTCTCAACTCCCTCGACTGCCTGCCTCATTACTCCTCCTCCCCCACAGAAATCCTGCCCTACCACAACATACCCTCCTATTACCTTCCCCACTGTCTGTCCTGCTGCTGCCCTCCTTCTCTCCTCTTCTTTCACTGCATGCCGTAGAGCGGGGGACAGATGAATTTAAGATGATCGTCTAATCATTAGATTCTATAAATGAAAATTTTAGTAAATTTACAATTTTTCCATGGATAGAATCTAATTATTGGGGTGTCATCTTAAATTCAAGGTCATCTTGTATATGGGTAAATATGGTCATTTAAACTGTTTTCTAAATTTAATCTTCATGATTTTGGTTGCACCTAGAGGCCCAACTCGGTTGGAATCCCATCGCGCTCCATGCTGTACAAATAGGAAATGACATGCGCTGACCAAAAAAAAATCATATATGCACAGTTCAAACTCTGAGACAAATGAAAAAAATATGTCTTAGTTGTTCAATAGGAAGCTATTCTAAATGCTGTTAAAAGGTGCAGGTTTTGTGCCTGATTCACATCACTATACATTTTGACAAACAGGGACCACAGGAGGTCTTTCTTAAGGCCTATCATTATTCATCTGACATTTAGCATGGCTTTTTGTAAGTGGGCTTCTTTCACTAGAGGAGTGAAGCACTTATTCTTGTGTAGCACTCTTGGAGGAATGAGGGAGAGATGTTATGGCTAACTGACATTTCCAAAATAGGAAATGGAAACATGTTTTAAAGGTGCAGCAGTTAAAATTTCTATCAGCTTGTTCAAACAATCCAATTCCTACTTCATGGAAAATAAATCAATAAAAGATAAAAATGGATGTGAGCTTGCATATATGCAAAATCACTACTGAGTGATTTCGTTGTCCAGAGCACTTATTAAAATAACATTAAACAGACAGACCAAATGAACAAAAAACAAAACCTCATGTTAAAGGAACATTATTTAAACTTCAAAGTTAATTCAACTCAAAAGTTAGGAAAAACAAGATTTATAGTTGATGGCATACCCTTAATTCTTCCCCCTTTCCATAACCACTGCAGGCACTGGTATGCTGTGGAAAAATAATATATGCTCATATAACTGGATACTGTATCCTAATACATATATAAAGTAAAGGGACACATACGAATCTCTCATTTGATTCTTGTCCTCAAACCCATCCTTGGCAGCTAATTTTTGTCAGAGGTAGAGCAAAGCTTACCTTCCTTAAAATGCAGTTTAATCCCATGACATTCACTTTGGCTTTAACCTTACCCAGTTGAAATTAGACTCTTGCGACTGATGTCAATGGATTAAAAAAAAAAGTTCCCCCTGCCCCCACCAAAAAACAAACAGATGGAAACCTGACCTCTCTATTTAAAACTTTTGGAGTAATACAGATATAAAATGCAAAATAAATGTTTAAAAAAGCAGAACAAAGATAAATGTTTTTACCGCAAAAGGGAGAAATTCTAAAGATTTCATGAAGTGTGCTAGGGACTCTGCCGTCCTGTTGATGGTATGTAAGAGGTGCTCAGATGGCTGATGGATGGATGGGTGGCTGTCAGTATTCCTAAGTTACAGAAAGGAGTAAGCATTAGCTGGATGCCAACTACTATAACAATAACTTGTAAAAGATTTTCTTTGTATTTATTAATACAGATGGATTTTGTGTACTGATATTCGGTTTCTTGTCACAAGTTTATTGAGAAGTTTTAGGTCATTTTCTGGTGGATTTTAAATAAATCCCTAAAGTTTTTAGAAATGATGATGACTGACATTTTCTTCTGTTTTCTGAGTCTTATTGGGAGGGGGGAGAAACCTGAGGTGTAGAAATGTTTTCCAATATCCTGTTTATAAAGTAGCTGCGGTGATATAGTTTTATTTACTAAACCAAAACTTAAATACAGAGGTCATTAGACTTTTTTTCTTTCAATTTTGAAATGCCTTTGCTACAAGCAAAGTCAATATGATAGGCGGTGTGGGACCTGTGAGAGAGAATATATGCTTTGCACTCCGTCTTAAAACTGGCAAATTTATGCAAGGATATGGAAAAGGTTCATAGCAACAACTGGGCTTTCAAAACAGTAAATCTATAAAATAGTGGAACTGCACTATTTTCTGTGGTAACTGGTATTAAAACTGAATATAAATGTTGCATTGCATCACAAAGCTGGGAAAATATGGTAAGAAACAGGAAGCGATCAAGATGTCTGAGGATGATTGTGTTCTTAAGAGAAAATAATGTTATCTTGCAGAAAAGAACTAGAAAGGAAATAATAGAAAATAAAGGAGTTGGTTAGAAAATTAATTTTTAAAAGCCCTCAGGAGAAGTAGTAGTAATGAGTTGAATTTAATTGCACTTTTGAGGGAGTGTTAAGCAATGAACTTCTTCTAGAGAAATTGTATACATCATTACTTTACTTTTTGCTCTTTTAAAGGTAAATATAAAATGTTGGCTATACTGTGCTGTCTGTGTTTCACAAACGTATTAAGTAGTACAAGAAAAGGATTACCTGATCTAGAAGAAGTTAACAAAATTACAAGGGGAAAGTGTGTGTGTGTGTGTGTTTGTGTAAGAGTGTGTGTGTGTGTGTGTGTGTGTGTGTGTGTGTATATATAATGCACAATAGAATATAAGACCGGACGGGATCTCCTCAATTATCCAGTTTGTGCTGTACACACAAATGCATGGTTCTGTCATCGCAGAGGGTAATAATACTCAAAAGATTCCTGTTTATTTTGGTTCATAGCCTGCCCTGTATACTGCTGATCAGCCAGTTAAACTGATTATGCATCTCATAACTACTGTGGCCTTGGCTTTACAAGACTGATCATGATAAACAACTTAATTTTCAACATGAATGATGATTCCTTTGGTTGAGCTCAAAATTTCCTGGCCGCTGTGAAACCGTAGACCTATTCCAGGTAGTTCCTGATACATGGCCAGCCACTGTCTAGGTTTGGGTTTTCAGATGGCATTGAAGACAGTGGGAAAGGAATAATACTTTTTTCATAAGCTGGAGGGGTGGTTGTAGTTCTCTTTGTTTTCACAGTTCAGCCTTCAAGGTTGTTGGAACCTAGGTGGTTTTAAATGCCTGGGAATATGACATAGCACAATAAACACACTTTTGTTGGTCATTACATGCATTTGGTGTCCCCAAGTATTTATAAGGTGGCTCTCAAAGGTCCTTTTTCCTCAGTGGTGTTTAGGAGCTACAATTATGGACCAGAACCCATTTTTTGGGTGATACACAAACAAAAAAACCATCCTATTCTAAAGAGCTTGTTAGTCTAAATATAACTTTTAAAGTAATTACAATTTTAGTTAATTTTGGGTTACTTTTACATTCACTACAATACTGTTTCTTGTCTCAGGGTTACCAGGGTATGGTTGATGGAGGTGACAACATTGTTGAAGTCTCATGGGAAAGTGTATCAAGTATCCTGCAAGTGGTAAGTACCATAAGAAATATACATTTTCATTTTAAATTAACCAACAACTTTTAGCTTAAAGTTCATAGCTAATGATTTCAAAAGTAGTCGGTGAGTTTAACCTTCTTGCTTTCTAGGTACCCAGCTTGTGACATCTTTAACAGTCGGGTTTTACAGGGGATGAATGCGCAATACTGTCTTAAAATATGTTCTCTTTCAGGTGTATCACACTGGGGCACACAAACTCCAATCTCCAGATTTTCAAAATTAGGTTCCTAAGATTAGGCTTCTAAATATATATTTAGGAGTCTTTTTATTTGAAAAAAAAGGGACATCGGGAGTCATTTTGTATTTAATAAATAAGTGAGGAGAATAGGACCCCAGAAGCCTGAATAATACAACTACTTCATAAGTTAAATGCTAGTTTATTCTTTTACATGATGGTATGGAAACTGCTCAACAAAAAACAGTAAGCACTTTAAAAAAAAATTATATACAAAAAGATGTGATATGAATGTATTATAAGTGAAAACTCGTGTATATATCGGATGAGCCCTTCATAAGTAGGTCATTGTATGGCAATTGTACTGCTTTACCCTCTGCTGTATTTTTCTTTAAATAGCTATGATTCTGACTAACAAAGAAATGTAGGGTGTTTCTTCCAGGCTGTTCTATTTTCCTTTATTTGATTTTAATTTTACTCTGCTGTCTCTATTATTGAATATACTTTTATTGAATTTTAAGGAAACACATACATTTTCTTTTTCATTCAAGTATGGATCCATATTAGCATTCTGCTGTGGGTTACACATGCATCTTAAACACTTGAACTTGTTTGATTATTCCCTGGTCCCCTTTCTAGTGTCCCTGTGGGTATAAATGGGGATGTAAACTTTCCATTTCTCAGTCCCTCTCAGCCACCCTTGCTTCATGATGGAGCTTCTGTTGTTTGCTTTAGTCTGTGGTATTTGCTTTACAGCTCATCCTTTAAACTTGTTTTTTTTATCTTGTAAGTTGTATTCTAGTTTTTAGGTCTTCTTGTTAGTTGTGTTCTATTCTTATTTTTTTAACCTCCCCCCTCCAGATTTCTGTGTTTCTATGACCAAGTTTGACCTGTACTACGTGCTTACTCAAGGCAAGTAGGCTTCAATGCTTTTCCTCTCACTTTCCTTTCACTGAAGCCTCAGCATGGCTTCCTCTGGGTTGCCTGGCTTCAAGCTCTGCCACACACGATAGAGCTATCCCTGATACTGACTGGTATGTCAACTACCTCTGCTGCTTTAAACCATCTCCCTTTAAAGAAGACTTGCATCAACCTCTGGAGTGGCCAGACTCAGAGGGCTTGAGAATAAGATCACTGTTCCAGAATTCCTGATGGTAATCCTCACCTTCCCTTTGCCCATCCTCTTCTGAGAATTCTTGGCCCCATGCAGCTCTCAGTAAAGCTCAGAGGCACAAGCACTAAAACCTGATTTCCGAGACCTCCCATGCTGCATAATCAGAAGGACAACAAGCACCTTGAAATTTGCACTAGTACTCCGATGTCACCATTGACACTCTAGAGCAAACTTCTTTGATACTGAGAAGTCTGGCTCTAAGACCCACACTTTCACCAAGATATGATACAAAGTAATGTCCTCTTTCCATCCTGTCCTACTTTCCAGTAAAACTGATGATACTTCACAGTGCACAGTGAGTTTGTGATGAACTCAGGATCCACCTTCACTGGCTTTGGTGGCACTGGCTCACAAAACATCAGGGCTACTAGTGTTGGCTACAAATGTCCAACTCGGGATCCTTAAAATTCTGGTTTATTAGGCAGATTGAAACACTGTAATGAAGTCAAATCATAAACCTTGGGGCTGGTCCCCTCGCACACACACAGTAGCGAGCTACAAATGTTTGGGGGAGGCACCAGAGTCGGTTATACCTATCCCACAAGCCCTGGAGTCTGACGTCAATGGCCAGTCAAGGCTTCTTTCAGCGTGGTGTTATCCTCCAGAAGAGGGTCGCCGGCTGGTCCTTCTGGCTGGACAGGTCGGGTGCTGGTCAAGTTGGAGATCAAGAGGGCGCCCCTGAGGGTCACTTTTCACTGCTTTTTATCTGTCCTTGGCAGACTTCGGTGACTCTTCAGTTTTCAGGTTTGCCCAATCCAGGGGTCATTGACCCTCGTGGGATTTCCCCCTCAGTGGCTACTGGATAGCATCTGTCAGCCCCAGGGGTCGTCCGCATGTATGTGCAGGTTTGGGAGTCCATTGATGAATTTTGATTAATTTACCGCTGTCATGAATAGGGCTCTGGGACCGGTCAATCTGGAGATATTCAGCCCCAAAAGTTGGTCCCCAGCATTGATTAACTCAGACTGGGGCTTTTAGCCCTTGAACAGTGAAGTTTAGAAAATTCCTGGTTGCTACATTGTCTCCTATTGATTTCTTCTGTTAGTTGATCTGCGGTTTCCATGGGTGTTACTTGCTGCTTGTTACTAAAGCCTGCTACTGTGTTATGCATTCAATCACTGATTCACTTGCTCTTTCAGGGGCCCACCTGATACAGGGAAGCAGCGGTTTGATTCCTGCTCTTGTTAATATTATTACAGTGTATAACTTACTTCTAAAACTAAAACACATTTAGTTAAAAGGTGAAGAGTATAAAATATAAACTACAAGAGTAATGCCATGGCACACAAATAGATAAAAATACCAAAATACAAGGGGAGATACAAAATGCACACATACAAACTTTAAAACACAATTCGTTATCTTATAGTGAAAGAAAGAGGAAGGAAGAAAAGGTAGAAGAGGAGAAGCATATCCAAAGAGGGGAAAGCAAATGCAGGCAAGAGGAAAAGGGGGCTTTCTGCTACACTAGCACTGGCCCTGGCATGGAACCTGTGCCTAGTACTTGGTCACTTAGGCTCAGTGCTGAACTTCTGTTAATATGTGGGGAGTGGTAGTATCAGCCCCATTCTCGGAGTGCACACCCCATGGTGTGTAGTCATTTGGATTTAGTGTCCATTTCCCAGCAGACTACTACGGCTATGAGGGACCATAGAAACCAGTACAACTGTCCAGAGTTAAGATATTCATTCTTGGCCTCAGAGGCTTCTCCTTCATTTTGAATCCTTACATTCAATACAAGAATACTTTCTTGATGCAGATGTTGAGGTGGAGGAATGTACAGGCCCGTAACTGTTGTCATCCTGACAAAGTGATAGTTTCTTCAGCAGCCCCATTTATAGATTATTTCAGCAGCTGCCAGAACCATACGAAACATGTGTCTCGGATCCCCAGGGAGACAGTTAAGGAACCTACACAGCTAAAAGATACTCTCTTAAGTGTTCACTTTCAGTGAGGTAGTTTAATTAATGAGGCCATCAAGGACCTTGCAGATGATGAGGAACTCTGCTATAAAACACTTGGAAGATAGAGAAATGTTACCAGATAACACGGTGTTTTTTCTATATACATACTATGCTCATATCTAGTCATTGCAGCTGCTAATGAAAAAATTAAAACTGTTCAGGAGCATCCTAAAGGATAAAGTACTAAAAAGCTGGACGTTTTAGAGAGAGAATCATATTTTCCAGCCAGCCTTTAGTTTTGAGTGACAAGCTACCAGATGCTGCTTCTGCTCTGGTCTCATTTTTGGGGGGTTTACAAATACTTGTAGAGTAGTTATGTTCACGCTCTCTCAAATGTTACTGTAACTGATTTGACCTACCGAAAAAGATTTGGTCCTCCCTGAATCGCATTTGGACACTTCATGGAAAATGTGGACACCTACTCCATAAATGGAGAACTGCAATTGTGGTGCAGTTTTTCAGAAGGTGCAACACATTGTGAATGATTGCCCAATTAGATCATATAATGGTGATATAAATTCAATTCATGCAGCTACCCCTGAAGCAGTCAAATGGCTATCAAAATTAGATATTAATCTATGAAGTTGTATGAATGTAATCCTAAAATGTCATATAAAGAGAGAGAGATTACTGTGACTGATGGTTCCCTTCTAGGGAGGAGAGCAACATGAACAACCTAAGATTTTCAGTGAGAAAAGTTCTGTAGTAGCACGGAGCTCAGTGAATTTGCTAGGCATTCTGGCAGCACATCTTTGCATACCATGCTCAGACCTTTTTATATCAATAGGCAGGAAGGAACCAGGTCCTCTCAGAGGTCGAGAGAGGCCCAGGCCACTTCCATTTTTTGAGGCTCAAAATACAATGCAATAATTTGTAATAAATGTTCCTTTTTTATTTAACAAGTGCTTTTCTAGCTTTTTTTCTTCTTCTTTCAATCCTGTCAGTGTATCTCTGTGTCTGTATGTGTAACCTCATTTGGAGATAACGTCAAAAGTCTAAATTTGAGGCCTTCCGTGAATGAGAGGCCCGGGCCAAATGGCCCTCCTGGCCCCCACTGTGATAGGCCCTGGAAGGAACGAGATCATATCTACAGTGCAGGGAAATGGACAGGCTCTAAAACTGATGCATTTTCACTGGATTTACTTTTGACAGAGCATCTTTATACATCTTTTGTCAGGACACCCTAGTGGACAATTTCAGCAGGGACATCACCCTCAGCTAGGAATTGAAGATCAAGGATTCTGTCTTATGAGACATTTTCTCAGTCTGGGGTCACTCAAAGATGGACTTTTTTTGCTACTGCAGAAACGCACACTGGTGCATGTTCTGTTATAGGGGAAGTCTTAGCCCTGGTCGTTGGATGGGAAAACTGTGTTTATACTTTTCTTTCACTCTACAAGCACTACTCTTGACTACGCAGTTCATTATCTGGTATTTGTCAGTCTAGCGTAATGTTGGTGTCAATGGTGCTAGAGCTATGGTGCTCAGCCTTTTTGCAAGTTGCTCCAACCTGAAAATTGGAAATGGGCAGGCGGCTACATAGAAAAGCACAGCTAGAACTCCACATGCATAGTGAGCTTTCTGAGCTCACCAGTTCTTGAGATGGACTGTGGCTAGAGAGTTCACTGTACATGCACAGCTCAGGCTGTTTTTTTCTGGGCAGTGCTCTGGCAGGAGCCATGCTGGTATGCTGGTGAGCTCAGACAGGGACATGGTGTTGGGTGGCAAGCTGTCGATACAGGCTTTATGGTTCTCACCTGACCTATGGATAGATTGAACAGCGCTATGCTAGAGGAAGTGTAGATTACAAGTAAATTTTTTAACTGCCAATGAGACCATTTCTTGTAAGGGTCCCAGATTGGGAGGTAAATTGACTTGTCCATGGACACACAAGATGTCAGTGTCAAGGCTAGCCTCTAAGGCTCCCAGCTAACCTCTCTACCACTGGCTAGTCTTCCTTCCTTCTGTACAGTTGAACCTGTTAATTTCCTGGAGGTTCTGGTTTGTGTATCATTGCAGAGCCCCGGGATGGTGCTGTTGCTCTTCTGAGCTTGAATGCTTCCACCACATATGTTGCCTATAGTGGCATGTGCGTGTGAACATACACATAGAGTTTTTCAAGAGGTACGTTAAGTAGCTTCTCATTTCTTTCAGTTTAGTTTTCCTTCTGAAAAGAGAAGGAACGCTTATCTTTCACTTAACACAATCTCTTTCCTAATTTTTTAAGGTCTTAGTGTAGATCACTTTACACGCTATTTCTATCGTGTCTTTTTATTTTTATAGCTGCTTGAAGTATAGACTTGTGCTCCTCTTCATGGAGACAGATTGCAAGACTCTCTCCCTGTCTACTTTTTTCTTACTATTATCTGCTTGCTGTGACTTGCAAAATATATAGTTGGACCATGCCAAGAAATAGTTTGGAACAAAATCATCCAGGAGTGAGGCAGACTGTTTCAGTTGGTGAGACAGTCTGAACCAATTCCAAGCTTAAATTTGAATTGTGTATGACTCAGATTACAGGGAAAAGAAATTGAGATAATCTTCATATTTTATGACAAGAAAAAAGAAAAACTTATGTACTTATGGTAATGATACTTTCTACTGTGCATTGGAAATAAGCTAAAATGGTAGTCAAGGAAAGAAATCATATGCAAATATAGATATGCAGATTTTGCTGTCTATAAATCTGGACAGCAGATTCGTAATGGCAGAAGATACAGATCATTTTGTCACCACTTCATTTTTTTACACCGAAAGTATTTGTACATGTGTAAGGGGGTGTGTGAATTCCAGTTGAAAAAAATAAGTGTTTACATAGTACCGTATTGGTTATATATAGGGA